CCGCCTCACATGCGTACAGATCACCGTACTCTGCACAGACGTCCCATCCAACAGCCGCATTAAATGCGGCCACATGCGGCCAGCGCCAACCAGTTGAGGCGACCCCTCGGCCAATGAGCGCTTGACACGTGTCCCTGCCCGGCATTTATTGCTACTATAAATAGCACCCCATTTCCCCATTTGTAAGGACACACGCTGAAAACACTCCACATTTATAATACTCTCTCTCTCTACGTTTACCTGCTCTGACTTCTCTCTAAATTATTCCCCGTAATAACCCTTCGGATATATACCCCCGGGTAGACTATCCATCAGTTGTTAACCATGAGACGCATGCATTAATAATCCAAGTTTTACTACCGTTGAAAGAACCGAATTAATAACAAGCGTATTAATCGATTGATTCTAGTAATAATTAATATATGAAACAAAATTAGTTGATCCTTTAAGTAATGCTCAAAATATTAATATGGAATATGAATAGGAAATAATTAATATTCAAGGAAGAAGATTAAAGAAAATAACTCACAACTTACAAATTCATTAAGCTTCAAAGTAGCAAAACCAAGATGGAAGAGTTTAGCTCCTCATTTGGAGACTAAACATGAAGAAAATATAAAGAAAGAGCTTGTCTAAACTGAGCTAAGAAGTATATGTTAATTGGTGATTTTTGTGGGAAGGAAATGGGGGTATTTATAGGCTTTTTAGGCTTGCAGGGTCGTGTACCCGATCGGGCTGTAAGGGCACTCGATCGGGTACTTGGTTGCTTCGCGGAAATATAAAAAAACTAGGTTATACCCGATCGGGTATGTCGGCCACCCGATCGGGTATGAACAGTCGATCGTGCCAAAATCTCCCCTGCACGTTGCCTCGTCCCGGATCCGATTCGATTTGATTTTTCAACAAGGTACCCGATCGGGTATAGGTCATACCCGACCGGGTACAACACCAAAAAACAATCTTCAATTCATCTAGAGATTTTTTGCACCTTTCTTCCATTTGTGATGTTCACCAATGGTCCCTAGAGTGATCATGGACCTGTTTGAGCTCAGTATAAACCTAATCTAAACAAATTACAAACATTTTTACAAATAAAACTATTACACCAAAAGTGTGTAATTTCCAAGGTAGTAATCAATCTAAACTAATAAAAAACATAAACGTAAGCATGGAAATTACATGAATGTCAAACACTTTAAAGATTTTTTTTTGTATCATGGGACTCACCAATTCTATCACTCAGCCAATTACCTTGCTTTGCTTTGAAGTTTTCGCCATTGTATTTGGAATTTGAAGAGAAAAGAATCATATGTTGCCACCTGGCACTTTTATAGCAAATGAGAAAATTGTGGAGAGATGGACACATAGGATTAATGAAGGGTGTAAGTGTCTTTTAAAGAGCTATTTATTTTCTTATAGATAAATAGAATAGATAACTCTAGCTTTTTTGCTTATACATAAAACCACTACATATGAGAGACAAAATTCTTCTGCTCAATTGTTAGCCGACTTATCTTATCTTATACTTAAAAGAACCACATATGAGAGAGTTTTCCCGCTCAATACCTAAAAGCACTACATATGAGAGAAAATTTTCCCGCTCAATTTCTCAGGTCAATTGTTAGCAAGGTTATCTTCTTATACCTAGAAACACTATATATTAGAGAGAAAATTCTTCCGCTGAGTTATTAGCAAGCTTATCTTCTTTTACCTAAAACCACTATATATGGGAGATAAAATTCTCTCGATCAATTGTTAGTCGGCTTATCTTGTAACTAAAAGCACTACATAATTTCAAATGAAAAATGAGCATATAAGCTTTTTTATATTACATAAGGGCTGGTTTATTATTATTATTATTATTATTATAGTCACTAAATGTAAGCAAACTTATCTTGTAATACCAAAAAGCACTACATATGAGAGAGAAAATTCTGTTTTGTGGATTTAGTTTTTAGTTTGGGAGGAAGCAAGCAGGCTAATTTGACCGATAATAGCTTTGAATCTCTCGCATGGTCAGCGATTAGTCGTGCTCATTATTGGGCAGTCTATTCTATGTTTAATCAGAGAGTGAGGTTGCCTATTGGCTATAAGGAGTCTAGAGGAAATGTTTGGGTAGCCAGAATACATGATGTTTAGTTGTTTGATTTTTGAATTTAATATAAGCGTTTTCCAGCAAAAAAAAATTATATTTTAGTTTTATACTCCGTATCAAAGTAACTATAAGGAAGAACCTCCCCAATATATAGATATTTGTAAATAATAAATAAACAAATTGTCTATGAACTTTTATAGTGAATTTAAAAACAATAATATTTACTACTCCGTAAAAGTTAATAAGTCATATGTTTATAAACTATCCCTATCTTGATCATATATTAGAAACTTTTTCTTGATTTAATACAGAATAATTCGTAGTTACTTTATAAAATTAGAAGGTTGTTTAATAAATGTTCAATTTTTTTTTGAATTTTATATATGCAATATTGATGTCATATGAAAGATCATAAAAAGTTATGAAATTTGATAAGATTTTTTGTAAAAATTGGATTAAAATGAAAAAGTTATAACACTTTAAAAAAAGAATTTTTTCGTATCATGGGACCCGCCAAGTCCATCACTAAGCCAATTACCTTCTTTGCTTTGATGTTTTGCCATTCTAATTGAAATTTGAAGAGAAAAGGATTATATGTTGCCACTTGGCACTTTTTATAGCAAATGAGCAAATTGTGGAGAGATGAAGGCAAATTATACCGTACACTCGGATGTACGGTGCTCACTGCACATCCGGGTATTTTTGTAATTCTTTATATGCTTCTGTATGTATTCTTTCTTTCATGCGTATGTGAACTGCGGGTCTTGCAAGCATGGACGCATGGTGAGCAGGCCCTTTTTACATAGTGCTTTTCAACCATAGTGCTTTTTCTTAACCATCTTTTTTTGCTTTCTACGTAATTCTTTTTTTATTCTTTTCGTTTGTTTCTTAACTACTTTTTCTATTATTTTAATTTATGATGAATATTTAAGATATTAATAATATTATTTTTCTATTTTCAATTTAAGATGAAAATTTATTAGATTAGTAAATAGTATGTGCTAATTACTAACATGAGTTTTGTGTTATATTGAAATGAGTATAATGTAAAATAAATATGTTTGAGTAAATATTATAAAAAGAACCCGATTATATTTATAATTCCAGAACGTAAGACTATAAATTATTTTTAATATAAAATTGTATATTTGTCATTAGTATATATACCATCAGTATATATGTCATTATAATATATGTCCACAAATGGACATTTAAACACATTAGATAACTCAAACGAGTTTTTGAATTTTTCGATGCTCATTTTGTAAGTTTCATATGTTCATATGATATTGGTTTTATGCTCATTTTAAAATGTCATATTAATGCATATTTCTAAAGTATCATATTAGATTCGCATACGAGTTAGATTATATACATGAGAGCGGAGGTCATGATACACAATTGAATGCTTCTGATCCTCAATAAAAGAGGTTTGATGTTCACTGAAAATTTCTTGATGCTCAACTAACAAAGCTTATGAATTTCATATAATTGCTCATTTGGTAAGTTTTGTATACTCACTTGGTACTTGTGTTATGCTCATTTTAAAATGTTATAGCAATTCATATTTCAAAAGTATCATACTACATTAGATTTACATAGGAGTTAATAATAGATAATACAACACCAACCATGATACTCAATTGCATGTTTCTAATACTCAATAGAGGAGTTTGGATGCTCAATGAAAATGTATTAATGCTCAACTAAAAAAATATGATTTTCATATCAATGCTCATTTTGTAAGTTACGTATGTTCAATTGATACTCATTTATATTCTCATTTTTAAAATGTCATATCAATGCATATTTCAAAAGTATCATATTACATTAGATTCGCATATTAAAGTTCATAGAAGTTGATTATAGATATAATTTAATAAGTTTTTATAAAAGAAAAAGAAGAAAAAGAAAGTAAATTAGAAGATATGAAGCAGAGATCACGATGCTCATTGTTAAGTTTCCAATGATCAATAAAATATGTCTGATGCTCACTAAAAGTGCATCAATGCTCATTTTAATAGGTTTGATGCTCATTAAAAGCTCATAAATGCTCATGCACAAGAAACCATGATTTTCATCTCAATATACAGCGGATGTTTGAAACTCAATTTAAATGTCATGATGTTCAACTAACAAACCTTACGATTTTCATATCAATGTGCACTTTGTAAGTTATATATGCTCATTTGGTACTGATGTTATGCTCATTTTTGAATTGTGATATCAATGCATATTTCAAAAGTATCATATTACATTAGACTCGGATATTAAAATTAATAGGAGTGTATTATAGATATAATATATTAAGTTTTTATAAAAGAAAAAATAAGAAGAAAAAAATAGAAGATATGAAGCAGAGATCGTGATACTCATTGTTAGTCTCTTAAATACTCAATAAAATAGATATGATGCTCATTAAAAGTACACTATTGCTCATTTAGCGGAAGACATGATTTTTCACTTAAATTACAAAAATGTCACTGAATTATTTTTGGCATGTATTAGTTTTTGGGCTGCCTACCTTGGTTTGGCCGGGTGTACATACACATAGATTAATGAAGGATGTAATTGTCTTTTAAAGAGCTATTTGTTTTCTTATATATAAATAGAATAGATTGTCCAAGTTTGTCTAGTATGGTTTGAAACTAAAATAAGTTCTTTAGCACCTAACCCAAAAACAAGAATCTGTGGACTACCCTCTCTGTTTAATCTTGGTTGGCAAAGGTCTCAACCTCGACGCACTCCGGCACTCGTGTTCTAAGTTATTGATATCCCAGGTTCACAATCGATGGCAATTCAGAACACCGCCCATATAGCATCACTCCAGTCGCCATGGTACCGCACAAATAAACGAAATTTCAACCATATAATACTTTCTTATCTTTTGTGTTTAAACTTTTATGCGTATCAAAAGTCCACCATGAACACACATGGAATATTAATGCGCAGAAAAGGTAATTTAGTATTCAGGGACTTGATAGTGGCAAAAAAACAAATTAGTGTTCTTACATGGAAAATAAGATTAATTCAAGTGATACGACTCAGGTCATAAGCTTAAATTTGAGCATGCCAAATCATACAATGCTGCTAGACACAGATCATCTTCTTGAAACAGTAAGAGCCAACAAGAAACCAGCCAATAAGAATGGCAATAAAGATTGCCAAGTAAATCAGAAATGTCCATCCGCCGAAGGTCAATCCTAAACCAAACACTATAAGAAAAGGCAAATATGTTTTCAAGATGGAGGTTTTATTAACCCATTGTCCGTGGAGCGCGATAAAAATGGCAACATTAACCACATTCCAACCCCCGCCTTGGAAACTCAGCCTGTTTAGAGCATTGGCCACAAATGAGTGGCAGTTGCAAGTGAGCAAGTTATAAGACTGGTGCTGGTACTCTGTTGTGCTCTTATGCAACGCCCCATCCCACGTTGCCATGTCATTCCCATTTTCGTTGACTTCTTCCCTTTCATATGGAATAGGGTGGCGAGATACATGACACTGCAGGTCAATTGAATAAAGAAAAAAAAGGAAAATAGAAGGGTTTAAAGGCACATCATGGCAAACCAATGGTTAGAAACTTAGAACCTCAAACAACATCTCAAACCCGTTTATAACTTCAAATACTTTGTGAATTTATATTGTTAGTTTATATGTCTTGTTGGGCGCAAGCAATCCCTATGCGAGCTGGGGAAATCATTGACACACAAATACTAATTCTTGTGCCATGAGAACAGCTAAGTTTGATGAACATGTTTATGCTTATGCTTCATTAGCACATACTGACAGGATATCATGAATGTAGCTATCAGCTACGTTCATATGACAATAGTGCCTTACACATACCAATATACCATGAGCATGAATCAGAGACTAATTTGATGTATAAGTCATATTTATAAGCATGAACACACATCATATTATATCACGCTATAAATTTGAAAATTTCGAACCAGTCATCTTTATTAAGGTCGCAAGACTCATGTTGTGCACTTTTTTAATAATATATTTTAAAACCAAAGTTAAAAAACAATGACATTGGATTAGCTTTAATTCATGATTTTCTATACCTGAAATGATATTTGTTACTTGTATTAGGGAAAAACGGCCTGAGGGGCCACAAAAAGAAAAGAAGTAACATTTCTTATAATCAGATTAGAAGCATTAGAGCATATACCTCATCTTTTCTAATTTGAACATAGCGAGCAGGTGCTCCAAATGCAAAACTGTCTACACAGACAAAATTAGGTCCGGCAAAATCCAGGATTACACCATTCTCTCTACATATCCCAATGTGACCAATAAGAGGGACAAACCATGATAAGACCGGAATTGGTGTCCACACAATGCAGCTAGATAACCGATCTCTTCTTGCATCTATTGATATACTTTCTTCAATCATGAGAGAATGTTCATCGTCAACTTCTAGTTTTAACATTGCTGTTATAGATAGTATCCATAGAATAAGTTTCACATCTGTGGTAATATTAAACTGGGCATAACTGGTTTACCTTACATTTACATACTAGGCACAAATGTGGTCAACCTCAAATGACCAGACAAATACACAAATCAGAAATCCATGTTAAATTAGGCTTAAAAAGAGGTGAAATTTATCTCAAGCTGATAAATTAGATAACAATCTATTAAATATTGTCACACAGTAACACTTAACCTCTACTTTCGAATTTCATTATTTTAACAGTTTAAGTATAGTGACAATTCCCATTAAAATCCATTCTATTATTACATAGACTCATAGATCACATCTTACCAATACTGATCAGTTTGCCTGGGAAGCCTCACAATCTCCGAGCAAAAAAAGCACATAACGAATATAGCAAAAAACAACAGAATGCAAAGGAAAGAGCCGTTTTAGGATTTTAGCAGAACAAAAATAAGATTTTATAAGGTTGTATAATTGTTTTTAGATCCGGTGAACAAAACAGAGTTGGGGAAGGGGAGCAGTAAGCGATTCTACCTTTGGATGAATGACGAGAAATCTGCTGTTTTTAGAATCCTTTCTTAGCTGATCAGCAGTTCATCGATGCGCGCCGGCTGACCGGCACGGGAGAGCCTTATTTCTTTCAGAGGATAAGTGGTCGTCGCTGGTAAAAGCAAGGGGCCTCGAGTCAAAATTCAGTGTTAAAAACCGGGTAAGGGAAGTTGAGCCATACAATTTTTTTGTGGTACACACGGGCCACACGGCCTAGTTGGCTCTGTACACGGACAAAGACAACTAAAGGATGTACCACAAATGTGTACAAAAAAATGTATAAAGCTTGTTACTATCAGTTCACACAATGCAGCTAGGAATAACCTATGTAGTTACTATATCAGTCTTTTAAAAGCGTGACACGCTGCAAGATGTTAAGATGGATGTTTTCTTTTGTACTAAAATTTGCTGGTTTGGTATGTTCTGAACTAGCCTGATCTGATTTGGTAAATGTATGGTCTCTGTGTATTTTATAACTATGGAAGTCTGATTGGTCTAACCTAGTCTGGTCTGATCTGATCTGGTATGCGACTAAAGATAGTCCATAAGAAAACATCTCAAACCTCAAATTTTTGAAGCCTAGACAGGAATAGGTGAAACTTAGATGTGAAAAAGTGTTTTAGATTTATTGATAGTTACTACGGAGTATTTTATACTCTCTCAGTCTCGTATTTAAGTTTACACTTTGACTTTTTGAGTCCAACTTTGTATTCTTTGACCGTTAATTACTCAATAGTTTATAATATCAAAATAATTTTGAATGCTTCACTTTAATATATATTATTGAAATATTGGTTTATTATAAGTTTTATAAGTGTATATTTTTACATATCAATGGTCAAACATCAACGTTAGAGACCGTGCAATGTTGAATGTAAAGTTAATCAAGGAATGGAGGGAGTAGTATTATACGAAGAAAAAAATGTCCAAAATATATAATTACTACATCTGTCCCTAAGAACTTTGTCAATTTTGACATTTCAAATCAATAGTGGTAAAGTTTGGACCATGATTTTGATTGAGATATTATTATGAAAATGATAAGTTTTATATGTTTATGAAAATACTTTTAACAAAGAGTATTTCCATATTATTTTTATATCATAAATCATTTGTTACAAGAATATATACTTGGTCAAAATTGAACATAGTTTTCCAAAAAATTCAAAGGTGGTAAAATTTAAATGGACTAAGGGAGCATACAAAATCGAGCCTAATTTTTACTTTATTCAATATGTATACTACGTAATTTTTAAATGTGTAAAAAGTCAAATAAAAGTTTATGAATGTATTTTTTTTTAACTTTACTACAACATTTTAGATTCCATATGTAACAAGTTTATAAAAATATTTTTAAAACATTAAATCAATTTTTTCTTTGCAAAAAATAATTTATCTAAAACACTTCCGCTATTTCACGCCTACGCCTAGTCTTTCACGCCCAATTTTACATCTCTTCACGCCTTTGGTGGTCAACTCTTCAGATGATCGTTTTTTCCATACCTTTCTAATACGCAAGGATCCGCCCCTAAGCCCGCATGGACAACTTAAGATTTTTTTACTTGAGCTAAAATTTGTTGATCTGATCTGGTCTGGTTTGGTAGGAATTTGTCTGGTCTCTAAGTATTTTATGAATGTCCAGATCTGATCCGGTGTGGTCTATTCTTGTCTGGTCTGGTGTGGGACTGAAAAAGTCCAAGTCAAAACATCCTTAATTAAATATAGACCACAATGAAAATTTGGAACAATGATCCAAGATCGAAACCCTCTAACAGACGTGTGGAAGCTCAAAACCTTCTCCGAGTGATTCAAGCTCAAAATTAAACATACTTTTCATCAAGGATCATCAATTGGTAAGATTTTTACACCCTACATGAAGTATTTCTTCTATATTTGATCTATGGTTCTTGTTTTTGGATTAGACTAGGATTGATTGATTTTATGTCGATTCTAGGAAAATTAAGGGATTTTCTCAATAATAAGGTTGTTATGGAGTTGTTGTTCATCCTTGATTAATTACCCTTGTGAAATTTAAGTGTCCGATTACCCCGAAATTATACCCGATTGGAGATAAGAATTTGGGAGTTTTGCTTACTCTTTTAAGGATGATTTTAAGTGGATATCTAGAGTTGGATATTATACTAATTATTTGGTTGGTATTAACCCTTGGATTTGAGTTTCAATCGATGCTAGGTTATCTAGCTACCCCAAAGCTATGCTCGATTGGTTGTAGGAATTTGAGAAATTCTCACTTATAGGGTCTGATTTTGTAGAATTTCTCCTCATTCCTAAGTCTTAGGATTTTACTAAAAACATGATATTTTGTTGACCAACTGTATAGTTTCTCATCGAAGAACCGTTGCTTGTGGATGCCCTACACACACCGGGTAAATACTTCACGTGAATCAGGTAAGTCATCACCACCTATACATGATAGTTCCAAACAAAGTACGGAAGTCTAGCTAATTATGAATTTGATATGTTTGCTTGAATACTTGAAATTTGTATGGCATGATGTTGTGTGAATTTCAAGTGACATGTATGTATTGACAGGTGGTGTTAAATACTCCCTCCGTCCCTTATAACTTTGCCAACTTTCCTTTTTTGAATGTCCCATTAACTTTGCCACTTTCCCTTTTAAGTAAAGAATTTGTGGTTCCAGTTCATTCTCTCTCCTCTGCACAAACCTCAATCACACAGTTTTTACTTTATTATTTCCCGTGCCGGTCAAACATGGCAAAGTTATTAGGGACGGAGGGAGTATAAAATTATGAAATGGTTAAGGATAAGGTATTCAAGTGCTATGTTTGATTTAGTTGAGTTCACATAGAACCAACGATGAAATGAAGTTATGTTGGTAATGATATCTATTGAATGATAAGAAATGTTCTAAGGTAGTCGTGCCCCCAAGTAACTACCTGAGCTGAGCATAGCAGGACAGCCTTCCGCGAGGAGTCTCAGAGTTACTTTTGATGCGCTGCGGGCTAGCTACCCGAGGTCATTGGTGAGGGGCCAGGACACGAGCTACAGGCCCATAAACTCAAGGATAAAACGAGAAGAAAGAATGATGAATGAAGAAACCTTTTAGGTTTCAATACTTGAAGTTGTTGCTTGTCATGATATGCGTTTTGTAAGTGGATATGCTATGTGTGTTGAGTACTCTAGCTTATATATCTATTTGTAACTAGCTAAGACTCCTCAACTTTAGTGGATGTAATGGTGATTTACTAAACATTATTGCTTACGAGAATTCTATTCTCTTATGTTCTCATGTATAGGTAATAAACGAGGTACAGAGGCCCGAGAGAATGTATGGAGCGAGTGACAAGGTTTTGGATGGGTTAACAGAGAAGATCAGGCAATCTATTATGTTTTGTTTTTAGTACTACGGTACTCCTATGGATTATTTAAATATTTGTTTTGAAATCCTGATGAGGTGTAAATGTTTTGTTTAAAGATAGATTCCTTTGGTTATTTGATGTTTTCATTATGAGATTTGGATATGAACATAAGATACAAAGTTTCATGAAGAGACTTTGTATCTTTATATCTGCCTTGTTTATCGAATCTCTTTTATGTTTGAGTATCGTAATGGCTGTGTTGGAGACGGTCGTTACACAAGGAGTCAATGGTCTTATACCTAAAATTTAAAATGCATCTCATTAATGTATACAGAGTATATGCTAACTGTAACATTAGGTAAAATTTGAAATTAGTAAATACTACCTCGTCATACAATAATTATGGGTGGTATGTGTGGTGCTACTTGTACACACTATCTAATTGTCAATGTACACATCAACTTCTCAACCAGTTGTTTGTGTACACAGGCAAGTATGAGAGAGTGTACAAGAAATGTGTACAAGTTATGTGTGCAAATAGTTTTTTTCCAAATATTATCGAGGTGCAATTACTAATGAACGTGAAATTAATTGATTAGTATTGAATTGATAAAATGCAAGTTGTAAAGTGATTTAGAACTACGCAAATATCATAAAAATATGATATGAGAAGAACTTAAGAACAAGAAGTAAAAGAAAAAATAGTATAAATAAATATATTGAAATGAGGAGTAATAATGATTTTTTACTTGGGCTTATTCAATTCTAAACAAAATTACACCAGATCGGACTTTTATAGATCATACCAGATCAAACTGTAATTGACCAGATTATACTTAAACAGATGAGAACAAATTTTAATAGACCGGACTAAATCAAAATTTTAGTATTTTACAGTCGTAAAACACAGAGATCATACCTGATTTAAACGAAGTAGATCAAACCAGACCAAATTAAAACAAATCGTGAAGTAAACATCTTAACTCGATGTCCGGGCGAAAATGGACTTTTTCTTTTCCTCGGATTGGTGTACAAGTATGCAAAGCATCATGGCCGGGCATGTAGTAGAGAAGACGGAGGAATGAAAAGTGGTAGAAACGTGCATGATCATAGGAGTTAACAAAAGCAATTGTATGCATATAGTACAGTAAAATTAAAAGCAGTGATATATATTCGACCAGAAAAAGAATGCGATGATCGAATGGGGTGTCTGGCAATGGATTGGTTGTTGACTGATTCTGTTGGCTGATTGGTAACATCGGATTTTGTTGGCTGTTTTGATTAGGTGATAATATTAGCTGTTTATAAAAATGTATTTGGTTAAACGGCAGTTTACAATCGGCTGATAACTTATGCAATTACTTGTAAGGACATCATTTAATTTGTTTTGTTTACTAAATACATTTATAGTCCTTATATATTTCACCCATTTTGATAATATTATAAGTACAACTACTTAATACATTTTTATTTAATAAAAATAAAATTTTATTAACACTAGTAACAATTGGTCCAACATTTTTTATAACACAAAATCTCAACAACTAAGTATGTTTTGCTTGTCTTCCAAGAGCTCACTCCTTCTCTGGTTGAATTGCCCTACGGAAGAGAGCTGCCATCTTTTTCTAGGTTGGCTCTAGTTTTTCCTTTTTCCTGCGGCTGCTAATCTGCTATATCTCCTCCCTTAGCTTGGATCTATATATGAAATACAAGCAGGTGCTCTGTGGCATGCGTTATGAATATCCAGCCTTAAACATCAAAACAACGATTTTCGTCATAGTATGAGTTTGCTGTCTAAAAGGCTTCGTTTCATTTGTTTCAGAATTACTGATTTTT